TTTCAAAGAAAGCATTTTAGTTTTATTATAATTTAGTTTATTCTAAGGATTTTATAGTTTGAAGAAATAGAAAATGACACCATAAGCCAACTGTCACAGGGATATGCATGACAAGAAGGGCTATATATACTACATGCATCATTTAGGTAGTTAGCATACTATTACTTCTTGAGCTCCTTGAGTTGTTTACTGTCACAGGTAGGAGCTTCGGCCAGAGAGTAAAGGGCGGATTATACTTCTGCAGCTGCACACATCAAATGTCGCTTGGGTCTGGTCGCGAATCAGTTATGCTGGTATGCTTCTGCACCGTCGGTCTGGAATTTCTAGGGAAGCGCAGCAGTTTCCCGCCAAAGCGCAAGAGGGAGCCTATTCAAGAACTTGCGAGAACTTCGGCGGACGGTCAAGAGAACTTAGGTGGCACTGGCAGGAGTGTTTATTTTCCAAAACAACATGTCTGAGGCATCGTACAAGGGGTTGTACTATAGAACCTCCTTGATCAACCTTTCGTAGTGTTCATCCTTTGTTATTACTCCTCGGTTTTTTAAAAATGGCGCGCCCCAGCACCGAATCCAGAAGGATGACCACACAGACAGCTGGAAAGGCATACCAAGGACCAATCACAGCTGCTTTTTGTCCGCGCACTTCCGCTTGAGGTCTGCGTGGGTTTGTGACTGTCCGACGTGTAGTCTGGATTTTTATGAGGTACGCGACAACGTTTGCAGAACCTCAGAGCAGGGGGGTGTGGTCGTGTACAGAGACAGATTTGATGGTTGCCGAGGCTATGTTTCAGAAGCAAAAATTGGCCGGTATGATTTAAGGAGGGCCGGCTTTTGCACGCTGAAATTAGGACCGGGCCACCAGGCAGATGCCAGGTATCACAGATTACCAGTCCGAGCCAGTTTCTGAGCATAAATCCGCCTTTAGTTGTTACCCTGCAAAGCGAGGTGACTGAACTCTACCTGTGACACATGAACTTCTTTCCCTCAACCAGCAACGTGACGTCACACAGCTGCTGGGCGTCCAGGAGCTGCTTTAGACCTAAAACACAGAGAGATGCACAGATTGAGAAAGTAGAAGGGGATGCAGACAGGTAAAGATGAGAGGGGGGGGTTCCTGTCTTCACCGTGGGTGATGTAGTCCCCCAGAGGGGTGGTGCTGTCATCCGGAAAGTCCTCCTCCTCGGAGTCGCTGTCTGAGAGGGGCTCTCCTCCCCCTCCATCCCCGTCCTGCCATGGCTGGGGCCGCCAGGTAACTGTGCCCCCCCGCACAGCGTTCATCTGAAAAAAGGTTCCGCACATTTATCCTCCTGCTACATAAAGCTACTTTAGTTTGGGCGAAAACGAGTGAAGAAGCTGTTCTTTATTTTTTTAAATGTTATTATTCAGATTATCAGTTTATATTTATTAAAAGTATGGCTCCGTTTGCAGCTTCATACCTTTGCTCTCCTTCTTGTTTCCACCGTGAAAGCTGGTTGGGCCTCTCCGAGAAGAAAAATTAAAGAGCCCGTTATGAGCGGACCAACTGCAGGGAAACGGACTTCCTGGTTACAGGAAACCTGTGAGCATTTTTTTTAAAAATGTCCTGGTTTAACCGAGCTGCTCGCCCCGGCCTGTAGTGCACCCTCGTTAGGCTAGTTTCTGCTCAGAGCCCCGGAGTGACACCATCCCTACCAGCGGACCGAGCGGGTTTACCTTACCAAGAAAACCCTTCGAGTCTTATTAAAAGACGCGTGTTTGTAACGCATATCTGTTCGGTCTGGCCCGCACACCCCGACTGGCAGGTGAAGCGGTGAAAAGTGGACTTGTTTTGGCTAAGAAACGATCTCAGGGCAGAGCTTCCGGCGGCCGCTCATGTCTGAACCGGATTACCGCAACGTCCAGCTGCCGCCCGCTCTGATTGGCTGGGCATGTCACGTGACCGCTGTTTGTTGATTGACTCGTTTCTTGTCAAATATTTTAAAAACTAGAAAATAGGTATTTTAGCTAAAAGGATACGTTTTGACATCAACACCACGATCTTCATTTTCTTAAGTAAAGAGAGATAAACTAAATTTATATCTAATTTATTGCTTTATTTTCATGTTTCCCAGCTGATTTCCGCATCCGTGGTGCATTCAAATAAATCGTGTAAAACTGTATTTTTTTTTTTTTCATTTAACTAAGAATTGCTTGCAAGATAAATTACAAAAAACAGCTTTTAGATATATGTATTCACGTTGGCCATTTATTTTGCCACATAACGTAAAATGACGTCTGGTATATATAATTTTTTTGGCTAGTTGTGATTTTAAAACCGAGAGGATGTGAGACCAGCTAACCTCAATGGAAATAGCCTCTAGTTTTTTTCTTAGCGTATATTTATTAATTCTTTTTATAAAATTTTTAATGTATATTTGATTGTAGATGTTCAACTTTATACACATCGATTAATATATTTATATAATACAGGTAATGAAGTAGGAATTAAAAATCGCTGTTTTTATTTATTCTATTTTTTTTACAAGCCTATTTCAACTCCCAAAAAGTGCTCGAGATGATCATCGGCTGTATAAAGTTAGCTATTCCTGCATTCCCTGAATGCAGCATCATCCTACAGAGAAACATGGCGACCTGCATGAGTGTTGTTACAAGAGTTAGAGGCGCGCTGTCAGTGCTACCGCCGATAGGCAGACGGTGGCCCTCAAGGCGCAGTAGCGCCGCTGTTGTCCCGCACCGCCTCCGGCACGGAGCCCGGAGCAGTCTGTACGAGCATGTCCGTGAAGGCTACAGCGACAAGCCCGAGCTGGACATGAGGGCGGTGTGTGAGGAGACCGACAAAGTCATCGTTAACGTGGAGAGCAGGAAGGGAGACCTGCGAGGAGACGATGTCCGGAAAATTGTAAGGCAGAGGCAGTAACTACACCTTTTAATTAACCCCTGGTCATGCAGAAATCAGCTTTGTTTACATGGAACCGGGTTTCTCTCCCTTATATCATGTTTATTGGCTCTAGGTTGGTGTGTGGCAAGAGCTCCAGGCAGTGAGGACAGAGATCTCTGAGCTGGAGAAGGAGAAAGGAAGCATCAGTGAGACAGTTAAAAACCTGGTGGTGAGTTTTTACATTTTCTTGCAAATTTTAACCACAAAAAATAACAAAGTGCGCGTATATGTATGTATATATGTATACACTGTGTGCAGAATTATCAGGGAAGTTGCATGTTTGAGGATTATCTTTATTTTTGGGCCACAATGGTGCTCTCAATCAAAAGACTCCTTAATATCAAAGTTTCATATTTTTGGAAGTTGATGCGTTTTTTTTAGTTTTTTTTTTAGATTTGGTCATTTTATGAGGATGTCTATGTGTGCATGTAAATATTACAGTGCAGAATTATTAGGCAACGTAATAAAAAACAAATATATACCCATCTCACTTGTTTAGTTTCACCAGGTAAACCAATATACTCAAAATTCAGAAAATAACATTTACGACATTCAAAAACAAAAACAAATCTGTGACCAATATAGCCACCTTTCTCCACCATGACGCTCAAAAGCCTTCCATCCATAGATTCTGTCAGTGTCTTGATCTGTTTTAGACTTAGATTTGTCATTTTGTTTACACAAGTGTAAAACAAAAAGAAATTTCGTTTGGAACAGCTCTTGGGACAATTTCATCTTTTTTTTTTAAAAGTGCAGCCTTGAAAAATAGTAAAAAAATATATATATAAAAATAGTAATATAAACATATGGCTGTAAATTAACAGTTCTAACATTTTTTTTTTTTTTTTGCGATACACATTGCGTGCAGCAGCCACCACAGCCTCCCAGACGCTGTTCAGAGAGGTGTACTGTTTTCCCTCGCTGTAGATCTCACATTTAATGAAGGAACACAGGTTCTCCATGAGGTTCAGATCAGGTGAACAAGGGGGCCATGTCATAATTTTTTCCCTTCTAAACTGTGGTGTATTTTGATGGGTGTGACGGCGCATTGTCCTGCATGAATATCATGTTTTTTCTTGAATCATGGCGACTTCTTTTTGTACCACTGTTTAAGGAGGTGTCTTCCAGAAACTGGCAGTAGGTCTGGGAGTTGATCTTGACTCCATAATCAACCTGAAAAGGTCCCACAAGCTAATCTTTGATGATACCAGCCCATACCATTACCCCACCTCCACCTTGCTGGTGTCTGAGTCGATAAGGAACTTGCTGCCCTTTACTGATCCAGCCTGATGCCCATTCATCCATCTGGCCCATCAAGACTCACTCTCATTTCATCAGACCAAAACACCTTGGAGAAATCAGTCTTTAGATATTTTTTGGCCCAATCTTGACATTTTGTGTTGTGTGTCTTGTTCAAAGCTGGCCTTTTTTCGGCTTTCCTTACCTTGGCCAGGTCCCTGAGTATTGAGCACCTTGTGCTTCTCGTCACTCCACACATGTTGCAGCTCTGAAATATGGCACAACTGGTGGCTAATGGCTTCCTGGCAGCTTCACGCTTGATCCTTCTCAATTCATGGGAAGTTATTTTGCGTGTTTTTTTTTCCCAACACGCTTCTTGCGCCCCTGTCGGCTATTTATAGTGATGTTATGAGATGAGCCGAGGCTTCGAGACGTGTGTTGAGTAATGAAGGGAGCGTTTCCTCAAAGCGCGTGTCGAGGCGTGATTCATTTAGAGGAGGGACCAAAATTGAGGATGTCCGAAGCCTCGGTACCGTGATACCACGTGACTGCTTTGCGAAGTGGTTCAGAAAGCGCAAGAATTTCTGCAGGCATTTAAACAGCCTCAGGATTCAGTCAAGATGTGGGAGTTTGTAGGACAGTTGCTGTAATTTGGATAGAGTTTGGATAGATTGTAAGAATACATTGGTTGGTTGTTTTTCGAACCAATCTAGTTGGTTAAAACTATTTTGGTTAGAATAAACAATGTAATGATCAAAATCTGAGCAAGCCACAGGACATAATATCATCGTCAGTGTTAAGTAGTATTTTCTCCATTAAACGGTCAACAATTTTAGTGGCTTCGTTTGTAAGACACAGGCTCCCACTCCTGAGGTTGATGGTTCAAGACCTACCTTTGACTTTTAAAAGTTGCGATTATACTTAATTATTTTGGCTGATGAGGCTAATTTGCATTGGTTTGGTTATTACAAACTGTAGTTCTCCACTCAACCAGTAGGTGGTGACATGTTCACATGGAGCCTCGTGAACTGTGGGGATCGTTGAAGCAATTTGGCCAAAATGATTCAATGCCTCATGAGGCCTCATCTCAGCATCACTAGCTATTTGCCATGAACCGCTTGATTGTGCGATGATCCCGCTTGGCGATTTCCAAACTGCTGCTCCCCTCTGAAAGACATCTGACAATTTTTTACTTTTCAGAGTCTGTCAAATCTATTTTCTGACCCATTTTGCCAAAGGAAAGAAAGTTGCCTAATAATTAAGCACACCTTATATAGGGTGTGATGTCATTAGGCCACACCCCTTCTCATTACAGAGATGCACACCACCTGATTTGCTTAATTGGCTTTCAAGTCTATACAGCTTGGAGTAGGACAACATGTATGAAAAGGATGATGTGGCCGAAATACTAATTTGCCTAATAATTCTGCACACAGTGTATATATGTGTGTGTATATATATATCTATATATATATATAGATATATATATATATATGTATGTAAGTATGTATATAAAATGTATATGTATGTATATAAAAATGCTGGAAATAAAAAGTTTTCTTGTAAGATTATTTCTTTGGTTTGTTCCTTTTTTATGCCTCTTTTCGTGGGATTATAAAGTTGTGTCTCTAAATAGGTTAATTTTGTTTTTTTCCCACAGAGCCAAAATGACAAGAAAGCCCTTGCTAATGTGAGTGGAACCAAAGCACCCAACCTGTGTTTACTCTATGATGCATCGCTCATGTCTGACCAAAACGTTTCTCCTGCAGCTCCCAGAGTACACCCAGGCCCTGCAGAGGGGCCGCGACATCCGCGTCAGATTGAACCAGCTCTACCTTAAAGACACTGAGCTGGATCAGGAGCACTACAGCCGAGCGCTACGTCTGCCCAACAGCACCCACCCTGATGTGGTGAGGACACACATGAAATAAAAAAAACTAATCCCAAGGATCGATGATGAGGTTTAGGTTTGCAGCTAAAACCTGGAGGTTACGTTTCTCCTTTTTAAAGCTGTTTTGTCACTCGAACAGTTTCATTAAACAGTTAATGATGCGAAAACACTGAGCTTCAGCAGCACAGCGCTGAAACTGGCGTTCAATGCACAAATACAGACCGTGGAGGACCTCAGATTATATTATCTTTAGATGCATTAATTACTGCAACAGCATCTTTAAAGGTCTGCCAAAAAAAAAAAAAAACAAAGCACTTTCAGACCAGTCGATTCAAAATGCTGCTGCTCGTGTTCTCACTAAGGCTAGAATAATAGAGCACACCATCGTGGCTTTAAAGTTCTTACTGCCTCTCATGGCTCTGAGAACAGACTTTAAAATGCTGCTATTATTTTATAAATGTACACCAAAATACATTAAAAACTTGCTATCAATGCGTCAACTTTCCAGAATGCTCAGGTTTTCTGGTTCCAGTCTACTTTGTGTCATCAGAACTAAACATGGAGAAGCAGTTTTTGGTTTTTATTCGCCTTTAATCTGGAGCAAACTGCAAAAGACTAAACTCCTTTAAATCGAGGCTGAAGATCCACCTAATTAGAGCTGCCTTTGATCAGCAGGTGAACAGCTGTACACAGTGACCGTCTCCCCGTGTTGATCTGATTGATGGTTTTTCTGATTTTGTGTGACGATTCTGATGTTTTGATGATTTGCTGTGATTGATGCTTGTAATAATTTTACTGCACACTTGTTTTGATGTTTTTATGATGAAAACCACTTTGAATAGGCTTGCAGCTGAAAATGTGCTGTACAAATACATTTTTACTCACTTATTTACCCTTTTGTTTTATTTTAAGCCAGTTGGAGATGAGAGCCAAGCGAGGGTGGTGGAGTATGTTGGAAAGAAAGCAGGTGATTTATGTGTTTGAAAGCTCTACATGCTTCAAACTATATTTTTTATGGCAGAAAATCATGACCCTGCTTTGTTTACAGAGTTTGCGTTTAAGCCTAGAGGCCACGTCGAGCTCGGGGAGGAGTTGGGCCTCATCAGACAGAGGTAAGGCGGGTTTCACCGAACTGGCTCAATACGTTTGTGACCCATAAGTGAAATCACCTAAAGACCATCGTTTCCTGCAGGCATCTGTCTCACATTTCCGGACACCGGTCGTATTATTTGAGGGGAGCCGGGGCCAGGCTTCAAACCGCACTTCAGAACTTTGCCCTCGACACTTTGCAGCGACGGGTGAGATCCCATTTGGGAAAATAAAGGCAAAGAAAAGCATAAAAAAGCATAGAAAGCTGAGTTCTCTTCATCTGCTGCAGGGCTTCATTCCATTGGTTGTGCCAGACATGCTAAAGGGGGTGGTGTTTGTGAGTATCACATCTAATGCCAGCAGTATGAACTGAATGACTTTAAACCAACAATCAACTGCAAACATATATATTTTATTTTTTCTATTCTCTTTTTTTTTTTTATCCCCACATCCAGGAGGGTTGTGGGATGCAGCCAAACGCTCAGCGCTCTCAGGTCTACTCCTTGGACCCGGCACGTTTCCCAGACCTCAACCTGGCTGGAACGGGGGAGGTGGGGGTGGCAGGTGAGACTTTCTCTCCTTCATGTTTCCACAACACGCCTCCACTTCCTCAGGCTGTTGATTTAACACCGTTTGTTCAATATGGAGAAACGGTAATGGAGAACCTTTGCGTTCATCTTACTGTTAGGACTGTGCATAAATCCCTGCTGAGTTGCTGTCAATTTTTATTTGTTTGGATGTTCACAGGCTATTTCATGGATCACGCAGTAAACTGGAAGGACCTGCCTGTCAGGTAAGAAGCTCTCCTCACTTCATCTTCGGTTGCGGACGGAGCGACTTGTAACTAACCACCGCGGCTTGTCGTCTCTCACCGCAGGACGGTTTGCAGCAGCACCTGCTACAGGGCAGAGACGGACACCGGCAGAGAGACATGGGGCCTTTACAGAGTTCATCACTTCAATAAGGTCAAAGACACAGAAGATGGAAGATTTGAATTAAAGTCCAGATGGAAAGTTAATCCTAAAGGCTGTGGTCTTTATCCCTTTATGTTCTGCTTCAGGTGGAGATGTTTGGTGTGACGGCTGATGAGACGGGAGAGGAGAGCTCCCAGCTGCTGGAGGAGTTTGTTTCCTTGCAGAAGGAGATGTTTTCTGCCCTGGAACTGCACTACAGGTCAGGAAACACACAACTGCAGCATCAGGGGTTGAATAAGCAAAAAAAATGTTGACAGATTTGTTTTTCCTTGACACTTTAATATGTCAGAAAACCTGTTCCCTCTACTGCAAATTCATTTTGTTTTTTATTCATATAAATAAAAGTTGTCTGTTAGATTAAACCTGTATAAGAATAAACTTATACTAAACACCCCCCCTTCATTTAAAGAAGGGAAATTCTAGATATAAATGAGTGTAGATATAAATGTATCAGACGTTGCCACCAGTATATCTTTGTTCTTTTTAGAAAGAATGCTTTGGCCCAATCCCAAACTGGCCCCTAAACACTAACCCTTGTTTGTTTATTGTTTATTTGAAATGGGACAGTGTACATTAATCAACATTAAAACAACGTAAATATACCAGAGTTAGCAAAGGAATGCTAATTTTCATCGGTAGTCCCCCAGCCAGGTATAAAAAAGGCAACCTTAAAAATAAACACACGTATAAAATCACAAGATACAATTACAATACCAATTACAAAAAAAAACATTATGGTTAAGAAATACAATTCATGTAAAATAATTATAAATTATTTAAATACACACAGCCTGAGCACTAGGGTTGGGAATTGAAAAGATTTTCACGATTCCGATTCCCTTTTCGATTCTATGAAACGATTCGATTCTTTATCGATTCTTTTTTCGATTCCAATTTGGGGAAAAAGGAGAACAAACAGTTTGATTATCAGNAGGGAGCGTTTCCTCAAAGCGCGTGTCGAGGCGTGATTCATTTAGAGGAGGGACCAAAATTGAGGATGTCCGAAGCCTCGGTACCGTGATACCACATGACTGTTTTGCGAAGTGGTTCAGAAAGCGCAAGAATTTATGCAGGCATTTAAACAGCCTCAGGATTCAGTCAAGATGTGGGAGTTTGTAGGACCAATCTAGTTGGTTAAAACTATTTTGGTTAGAATAAACAATGTAATGATCAAAATCTGAGCAAGCCACAGGACATAATATCATCGTTAGTGTTAAGTAGTATTTTCTCCTTTAAACGGTCAACAATTTTAGTGGCTTCATTTGTAAGACACAGGCTCCCACTCCTGAGGTTGGTTCAAGACCTACCTTTGACTTTTAAAAGTTGCGATTAAACTTAATTATTTTGGCTGATGAGGCTAATTTGCATTGGTTTGCCCTAGTAAAAATATAGATTGGGTCAAAACGCTGCCAAATTAGGTCGGTTTAGCCAAAAGATTGGTTGAACACAACTTCCAACCCAATTAAAACCGAAAAAATGTGGAAAAACTATTATGTTCGAATAAAAATGACATAAACCTTTTATTTTGCTCATCATTACCCAATTTGCACAAACATGTTCACTGTCTGCTTGAGTTTATTTCACTAAAATGGCAGAAAAACTGTGCAACTTAAATGAAAAAAAGGAAAACAGTTGCAAAAAGATTCACATATTTGATTACAAACTGTAGTTCTCCATTCCACCAGTAGGTGGTGACATGTTCACATGGAGCCTCGTGAACTGTGGGGATCGTTGAAGCAATTTGGCCAAAATGATTCAATGCCTTATGAGGCCTCATCTCAGCATCACTAGCTATTTGCCATGAACAGCTTGATTGTGCGATGATCCAACTTCAAAAGCTTGGCGATTTCCAAACTGCTGCTCCCCTCTGAAAGACATCTGACAATTTTTGACTTTTCAGAGTCTGTCAAATCTCTTTTCTGACCCATTTTGCCAAAGGA